TTCACGCTGCTCTTCACTCTCGTGTTCTTTGGAGCGCCGTCGGCAGCTGTGCGGGTGCTGTCCATCTTCATGGCGGTCATGCTGCTCACTGATACCATTCTCATTCTCGCCATCCAGAAGAACCGGTATGAGGAGGGCGGCGTGGGAGTCGCCAGCGTCATTTGTGAGTACCGCCTCGGATACCCAGTAGGAGTAGTATCATTACTTACCTTGTGACCTTAGGGGCATTCCTCATGAGCTTGTGGACGCTGCTTGCCGATCGCACGGTGAAATGGGGCAAGGCCGAGGAAGAAGAGCGCCTCACAGGTCGCGTCGAGACGAGACGAACAGTGTGGGAATGGACCGAAGTGCTCTTCTCGACCATTGCATATGTGATCCTGTCCATCGTTATTATTCTCATCACCGCCACCCTAATCCTCAGATCTCTCGACGCTGGATATGGGCCGCCGGGCGAGCAGTACTGGGTAGACAACGACCAGTACCGCATTCACGTCTACTGCGAAGGCAACGGCACCGATGCGGCAGGTAATAAGCTGCCGAGTGTTCTTTTCGAGGGCGGTGATCTGCCAGTCGAAAACGGACTATGGCAACTTGCGCAGGGCGCCCTCAAGAATGGTTCCATCTCGAGATACTGTTTCTCTGATCGCCCCGGATACGCTTGGAGCGACACTGCTCCGAGCCCGCTGTCAGCAGGCATGGCAACAGACGCTTTGAGTGAGGCCCTCGCGCGCGCCGGCGAGAATGGCCCCTGGATCCTGGCGAGCGCTGGCATCGGCTCTGTGTACTCGCGCATCTTCTCTTCCCGACACGGCCACGAGGTGGACGGCATTCTCATGATCGATCCTCTCCACGAAGACCTGCTTTACCGTGTCTCGGATCCCGGACGAGGTTTCCTCTACTGGGTGCGCGGCATCATCTCGCCTCTTGGATTGGAACGGCTTCCCGGTGCTCTATTCCGAGGGCGCAGCAGCGCCGACCGCATCTGGGGTCGCTCAGCCAGACAGAGCGGCAAGTACCTGTTCACGAAGCTGCAAGAAAGTCTGGTGGCCGCCTCGCTCACTAAGCGGGAGGTTATCAGCGGCAAGGCGATTCAATACCCGGACACGCCTTTGGTTCTCATCAGTTCCGGCGACAACCTCCGCAAAGACAGTGTCTGGGAAGAGAAGCAGAGGGATCTTAGCCACTTGACGAGAAATCTGAAGCACTGGGACATTGTCGAGGACGCGCCTCACAATGTATGGGAGACGTTCGAAGGACGGGAAAAGATCGAGAAGAGGCTCCGGCAATTGGTCCATGCGTAAAGTATGCGCAAAGTGAGGCTGTATCGGACACGTTTTTTTGAGTTGAGTTTCATTTGGCTGGATGGGATTCTGCATGTTGGGCAATTTGTTGCATACGATTTGCTGCTTTTCTGGATGATGTATGCAGCCGCAGAGTGGTCAATGCTGGGTGATGGATTGATTGGACGGAAGCGATTTTGAGTACTTCCATAGCCCGGGTTTGTGAGCAATACGATATGGTGAATATTTGCGCTGTCGTTTCCCTGATTTTTCGTGATTCACATGTGAAATGACTCGCGAGCTGTGGCAGTGTGCCGCCGCGCAGTGCGTTCTTTAGCGGCTGGACAGGTGGCTTGCATTGACGGTAAGGAAGACGGCTGTCTGGACGAGACGGGCTATGTCGTCATTATTTTCCCAGGCCGTCGTTTCCCAGCAACGCATCTTTTGAAAACATTGGGATTGTAGGTGGTGAAAATAGACAGATGCAGGCCTTTGTTAAAACACCAACAGAGTTGATGGGCCGTCGCATGTGCTTGCAGACGGGAAATCTGCGAGATATTGTAGTCTGCACCATTGTAAATTGCACATCATCTTTTTTTCTCTCATTTTCTGCTTGCTGCAAGCTCAGGCAAGGAACAGCTTCGGCGCGAAAGTTCGGGTGTCGCTCACGCGACATATTGCTGGTCAGCGGCGGCTCCTCTTGTGCAGGGTACATTAGTCGGGAAGGGCACCGAAGGCAGGGAACCGTCGGCAGCGCTGAAGGGTCAAGAAGGGTACCGCTGGGCTGTTGGGCTAAGGTTCGGACAGACAACAGATTCGTCCCATGTCTGAAACCAAGGGCCTGCACATCATCATGTTAGTAGCGTCTGAACTTTGAACCTTGACTGTTGGATGCAGTAGTATCCGTACTGCGAAGTGGTATGGTATTTGGCCGTCTTCAAACCCGAGTCCGCCTTTGCATTAGGTGAGTCCACTTCGTCTGACGACGGCGGACGATGAAAAGAACCTCACACCGAAGAGATAAGACGCTCGACAGGACGAGCGAGATAAGGCAAGATAAAGCGGGAAGAAAAAGAAAGAAACAAAGCATGGATTTGGTTATCGGAGAATTGGCAGCAGAGACGCAGAAAGAGGCAGAGACACCTGCGTGTCCTCGTAAGACCAGCCATCCCGTATTGACGCTGGTGACTCAGTGGTTAATACGAATATGAGACATAGACGGGAGTTGGGAGAGACACGATCATGGGAAGAAAAAAATGATTGTTTAAAAAAAGAAAAAAAAAAAAACGCAGGCAGGAAGAGGCTCCGGACTTGGACGGATACTACTGAGTCCGTTACGAGATGGTAAGAAAACAAGAGCTCGTGTCGTGAATTGAATCCGAGGACGCGCCCCTCAAGTGCGCCCCCGTATTATCCATCTCCGTTCCCCCCCTCCAAACCAATCCTCTTATTTTAAAACGCGATCCAATGACGGCAATGCCTGTCCATTTTGGCCCCCGCTATCCTCCATCACGGGTGCCGTCAGTGGCACCTATTGGGGTACTTTGCTCCAGGGCCCTGAGACCAAACCCAAAAGACCAAAGAGCCCCCCCAGCCTTAGCATGTGCACCCTGGAATCGGGGAATGGGACGTCGAAAAATAGTATGAAATTGTCTTCGGCCGGCGCCTAAGGTAGGGACAGGGGACCTTGGGCGTTCCGAGCTTTTGGGGATGGGATTCCAATCCTCCCCGGACCCTTAGCCCGGAACGGCCGCCCTACAGCCCTGAGCCTGCCTGAGCCCAGCGAGGGTTGTTGCGTGACGAGAGTCCGACGCCGTTGCAACGTTGCGATGCTGCCGTGCGATCCCATCGCACAGGCGATGGCGAAGGACGTGGTTTGAATAGCTTACATACCGCCGTAGGGACGAACGACCGGGAACCAACAGCTTGCATTGCAGCGCCTGTGCCCACACGATGGCTGACGGGATGGATGGGTGGGTTGATGGATGACGGATGGCAGGCGGGTGTCTGGGCAGCACCTCAGATGCCAATGCCATGGAGTGCTGCCAGCCGCATCCGCCGCCCGCATCCCGTCCCAACCATGTGCGCACTGGACCTGGGGACGAGGTTAGGTTCAATGATCCGAAAGTGACACCCTCACTTCTACTGTTGCTGCAGCTGCAGCAGCCGCCGCCACCGAGGCCGCCCTGCTGCTTGCTCGTCAGTGGTGTCGTCAAATCTTGGGTCTCAAGGAATCACATTTGCCGTAGGGCAGCCGCCGACGTGAGCTTGTCGAATTGATAAGCCCCACGTCGGCCGGCTGGAGCTGCGTCTCCAATGGAAGGCATATCTTTGTGTCGTGCGCTGAGATTCCAGCGCGTGTTGGGTACTCAGTAAGGCACGGCACTTCAGATGCAAGGTGGCCGTATCGTGTCATTAAACTCAATGAGCTCTCCCACGTATTCCACGGCAGCATCCACCCACGAGGCCCGGCGTGGGACCTGGACTAGAGGTGAGCCACGACACTGGTTGCGTGAAAGTGGACATGACATGCAAACCGCCGTTGCCCTCGAGATATCACGACTGGAGAGGCAGGTACGGACACGTACCGCGGGTTCCTGTATTGGTAGTGACCTAGGTAGGTACGCTAATTACCTTAGGTAGTTCGCCCGCGCCATAGTGTACTTGACGGTACCTCGCTTGTCGTACAGCAGCCAGAGCGGGGTCCGTAAGGGGGGTTTTGCTGCAGTGTCAGCGGTGTCCCTGGCCAGTGATAAGGCAAGCTGACCGTCTTCAAGGGTCCACGCACGAGGGACAGAAGCACGACGAGGCAAGGTACGCCGTACTCCAACCTGCCTCGCGCGTACCTTCCTACCTCTACCTTACCCATCTGCCCTTCAAATGCGCTGAGAAGGGCGCTGAGATGTGAGAAACCCAGGACGCACCCCACACAGCAATCACTCTGCTCTAAAGTACTTTCTGGAGGCCCAGTGGTACTTGTCCCGTCCCCCCTCCACCACCACCTCCTCCTCTTCCTCCCCTCGTCGTCCCTGGCACTGGGCCCCCCGACAGCAACGCTCCGCACCCGCAACGCACCGTACCTGCGATCTCTCCGAACCTGAAACCCCTTGCTTCCTCTTCAATAAACCCAACGTCGAACCTCACCCCATTCGGGCTGAAGCCACCGACCGCCTTTCAGTCAACCATCCGTCGATACCAGCATTCGGCTGCAGGGCTACGCTGCCGATTCGGTTTGCCAATTACAGAATTCTGGGCAACTTCACCTTGTCACCATCGAGCTTGCTCCTGCCCTACCTATCTACCTATCTACTTCCTTTTTGCGAGGTGGTCGACTGACTGATCATCACCACTAACCGCCATCTGGCACTGCACCTGCCTACTTACCTCACCTTGTAGGCCGGGGTATATACAACCATCTCACTTCGTATCCTCCCCTCTGCCTCTCTCGACTCTTTCTTGACTTTTTTTTTCCCCTGTCGTTTTGTCGACCCGGAAATTATTACAAGTGCAAGCGCGAGCGCGCCTGGGCAGCTTCATCTGGTTTGCCCTGCAGTACCTCGAAGTAAGTACGCTCCTTCCTGCCCGTTCCTTCAACATCAGCACCAACAGCATCCCACCGGGAAATCACCACTCCGCGGGTCTGCTCTTGCTGACACTGCCGTCTCGACCAGAATCTCCCATGACCTCGTCATTGTAGCACCACGACAACAGCCTTACACAATGGAGAACGAACCGCAGTCAGCTACCTCCTCGAGGCGGGGTCGCCTGATGGGCAAGCTGTTCGCCCTCAAGGAGAAGGATCGCAAACCGACGGCCGAAGAGACGGGCAGTAACATCAACGATTTCCTCAACGGCCCTTCCGATACCCTCCAGGTTTCTCACGCGACCCCTCAGAGCGCCCTTCCCCAGCTCACGAAGCTGGATACATCTTCAGCCACCCGCTATCCCCAGGCTCTGAATGTTGCCAGCCATTCTCAGCAGAGCCTGAACCTCCCAATCCACTCCGCTCGCAGTCCTGCTCACAGCCCAGGTCTGCCCCCGCCTCGGAGCCCGCGGCGCAACAACCGAAGAGGCTTGAATGTTCGCTTTGTAGACTCATACCCCGAGATTATTGGCGAAGGTGGTGACGAGTCGGAGATTCCTGCGATCGAGGTGTCTAGGAACAAGAAGCAGCGCCCTCCTCCCGACAACCAGCGCCGCCGACCTATTGCCGCCGTTCACGACTCTCCGCCCCGAGCTCCTGCACCGAGAGAAGACTCCGACTTCGTTCCCGGCCGTCTGCGTCGTACACAAACCGGCTTCTCGTCTATCCACGAGCCGGAGCCACGGGAGGCCCCTCCCCCTCCCGTTCCCAGAGAGGTTGCACCGGGTTATAATGCCTCGGCGCCATTCCTGGACACACCCACCAGCGCCAAGGATGAGAACCGGAAGTCCTTCATCGAGCATCACCAGGCCGAAATGCGCCAGGCTGAAGGCAGAGCTTTTGCAGAGGCTGCACGCTCAGCCAGCCAGTCCTCCCATCCTCAGGGCGATGAGCGCGCTGGCTACACACCTGCCACACCTCAACTGAACGAATCACCCACAAAGTCCCCTGACCTCCATAAGAACCCGCCCGACCAGAGTCCCTCTTCTGTGTACTCAGCTGGCAGCAGTTTCGGACAGCAGAGCGCAGGCAACAGCTTTTCGAGACAAGCCTCTGTCAGCTCTCAGCACAACTTGGTTGCCCCTCCTTCGATGGCTTCTAGACAGGCGTCTTTTAACATGCACGATGCGGTCCTTGCAGTTGGCGAAGATGCCCTGAACAGTTTCGTCACACGCACGCGCCACCTCAATGAGCTTTTCAGACTGCATGCCGAGACAATCAAGCCTCTTTCAGCCTGCCTGCCCTACGAGTTGGCGCGTGCTTCCCTGTGGTGGTTCCTCAAAGGACGCATGGCACTGGAGGCGGCTGTGCGCGCCCGCCCTGGCAGCCCTAAAGATCAGATGCAGAACGACATGGACCGCCAGCAAGCTTACGCAAACCTCGCCAAGGGCTACTGGCTCGCTGAGGAGGCTATCCCCGAGCTTATGGAGGCTAGACATCTTCCTCCCGATAGTGGCATCAATGACATTCGCTCCACACTGGTTTCAACACTGAAGAAGCTAACTGTTTCTATGAAGAGAAACGGATTCCTGCCCCCTGAGGAGGCCTTCCTGCCCCAGACAATCGACAAGTCGATCTGGGTGGAGTATCCCAGACTCAGCATGGATATGGTTGCGCTACTCACTGCAGACTCACAAGCAGCCATCTCCGGGGTGGTCAAGGTGCCCTCGCCTCTAGAGATTCTCGACGCCCTGCCCCCTGGTGATACAGCCGAAAACTTCACGTTCGGCAGAATCAGCACCGATGTGTTCTTGATGGAGCAGGGCATGGAGTCCCAGAGATTCTACTTCCCCTGTCTCCTGTCCATGGTCCGACCTCAGAAGCAGCCCAACCTCGTGTTTGTGATTGCCAGTCAACATGGAGAGGTCAATCTGCGCATCCAAGGCAACAAGCAAGCCGGCCCTACCTGGGACGACGTTCGTTGGCGCAATGAGACCTGCTCACTCGAAATCAAGCTGCCCCGAGGCTTTATGGTCGTCGCTCAATGCTCACAATCAGATTACCGTATGTTGTGGAGCATGTATGACTTTGGCGCCAAGGTCCAGGCCACTCTCTACCCCCGATCTGATGAGCATTGCACATTCCGCGCCAATCTTCGGTCTTTCCAATACTTCGACTCTGATCCTCAGGCGCGTGCTTTTCCCAAGGAGGCCATCCAAGGCTGCGACGTTGCGCTGTTTGAGAAGATTCATAAGGAGAACTCACCAACTGGCCCCCGAGCTTACCACCGCGGCTTCAGAATCACCGTCGTTACTGGCGCTCGCACACGAACTTTGAGCGGCATCAACCACAGCTACACTCCCCAGATGCCGATTCCCTTCGGCTTCCTGCGTAACGACAATGGGGACGCAGCCATGCTTCTCAAGTACGACAACGGCCGCCAGAGAGTGACCATGGTACTGTCCTTTGCCGACGAGAGGGAGCGTGCATACTTCCACACCCAGATTGTCGGCACCAATGTTCAAAAGGACGAGACCATCTTTGCGGATGTTCCTCTGCTTGGGTTCTCTGTATCTACATCTCTGAACGACAGCAAGTACCTGCCAGGCATCAGCCAGATTCCTTGGACGGCGGTCCGCGTTATCAACGAGGACGCGGATGAGGATGTTCCCCGCACAGTACTTTCGGACAGACTAAGAGTTGTCGTCGAGTCCAAGCAAGGCTACCTTACCGATCGTGTCAACGTTTCCCCTGGCGAGCTGCGACTGAGACTAGAGGTGAAGGACGCGAAGAGCTTGGTGGTGATGCGACAGCCTCAATTCGACATGACTGTGGCGGTTTCGGACGGATCAGTTGGCAAGGAGGTGCCCAAGGAGCTGACAGAGATGCTCCAGATGCTGCAGACCTCGCAGACCATTCGTACCTACAGCTTTCCGACCCTGAAGGATCTCCACTCCTTCCAGGCTGCCCTGACGGGCTTCAATGTGCTCTTCGACGGACTTGCTGCAGCTTTTGCCATTTCCCGCCGACGTATGGTGGTTCCCATTCACAAGAAGTGGGAGGCCGGATGGACTAGAGTCCAAGTCATTCAGCAGAATTCGATCATTCAGCTGCTGGCGTTCTTCCCCGACTTCCACCACGGCCAGTGCATGAACTTTGTGCTCAAAGGTACCGACGTTTTCGAGACGTTTTCTCGCAGCAGCAAGGCTGGTATTAAGTTTGTTGACGCCAAGTTCCCGTTGCCGCGAATGCCTAACGGCACCGATGGACCTTCGGATGACATGGGATTCATCTGTATTGACATGCCGGATCTACCGGGAGAGCATGATGACATCTCGCTCCTCTTCGAGAACGAAGCGGGTAAGTGTCTGTGAAGCCGAATGGACTCGGGTCTGTGCTAACGTCCGAACAGAACGCGACCGCCTGTGCCAGTGTTTGCCGGCGCCTGTCAAGGGGGCCTCGAGGTCCTTGAGAGGCAAATGAGTCCACGTGGACCAAAGAAATTAATAGCAACAAGTTTGGTGGAAGTAACAGCATCCAAGCATTTCAGCGAGAAGCAATAACTGGACATTCAAAGTATGAGATACCCAAAAGTCGGTTCATCACATTGCTTCGCGAAAAGAAAACGGACAACGAGAAAGACAATGAGTGGTTGAAGCACGGGGACGGAAAGGGCTTGGTCCGGCGGCCACTGGGAGGTGGCATTAGTTTATACCGAGATGACGCTTGGCTGCGGGCTCGGGTGATGTGGCAGGTTTGGCCGGAAGGCTCGGGCCCAACACGAGATGGGTTCTTGGAAGCTAAGCATTGCCGAGAGGTTCTATATGTGGCATCTCGGAGAGCAACGAAAACTCGGTGTTGATGTTGGAATAGTTCTGCACAGCAGGATAGCACGTTGGTTGTAAGAGACAAGACAGGTAGATAGGCAGCAAAAAGTATGCAACGCACACAACGCAAGTCTAGGTATACAGAATAGCAGCTTGTGAATGATACGCGTATCAAAGTGCGTACGACGCATACGGGGACGTGCCGAGAAATACCTTGCAAATAACCCGCGTTGAGCCGTAGGATTGAATGCTAGTTTCAGGGCCAAAATGGGCTTCCAGGTGAGTTACGTGGATCTGGGCCCCATCAAACTCCCCACCAACAACGGGTTTCCTCTCTGGGCCCCCTCGAGCTTTTCAACTTGCATTCGAGGGCTTCGGCTACGTCTACAAGCGGTCAATATTTCTTGGATCTCACGAGCACTGCCACAACCACCTGCATGAATAGAGGTGGGATAGCAGGCAGATGTGCAAGCCAAGAAAGGCAGCGAGGGACTCTATATGCATGAGAGGGAACCTTGAGAAGCCCAGCAGGCGAATAAATGAACAGAAGGGAGAGTCATTGGGGCCGTGATTGGCTGCGAGAGGAGCTTTGGGAGCAGGTGATTGGGTGCATGGTAATACAGCATCTACTTTTGGTGTGGTGGACATTGAATACATGGGACGGAGAGGGGAAGCTGGGGTGAAGGATGACAGGTGCAGTCCCGGAGATGGGGAATGCCATATGTCAACTGCCAGCATGCCAGCATGCCAGCCCACGGGAACTGCTCAGGCAAACAGCTGAACCCCGTTTAAGGTAAGATACTCGACCCTCTACGAGCTATTGGTGGTCAGGAATCTTGGGTGCCATTGCACTGGCGCGAGATGGTGACTTGCCAGGCGTGCACGGGAAGGCCTTTGGTGACGAGGGGCATTGGAGAAAAAAAGGTTTCTAAAAAACGACAGACGTCATCGTCCCTCGACGGCGGCATGGTGGGGTCCTAGTTCCCCAGCACCTCACCTGCTAGTACGGTAGCCAAATGGCAGAAACCACCAACTACGTAACTCTTGCATGGGCCAGGCCACCAGCGACCTGTTGAGCGGCAGCTGTGATCTACCACGGTGAGCTGTTGTTGCCTACCTTACTGCGTACCTGAGGATGTCTGCGTATCTTAGTGCAGCGAGCAGACCGATTAATTGCTAAGGAGTCTACCAGATTCTAGATCATACCCAGGCGAGGCATGGGTTGGGTCTCAACTTCTCTTGCCGATTTCACACTTGGGTCACCTTCACCATCTAAACCATCCCAAGTTCCAGTTGTTCCTCAGTGAACCACCACCACCCGGCTGACATTGACTTTTAACGAACGTCCCGTCTCCTCATCATCCTCGACCTCTACTTCCTCGCTCCTATCTTCTCTGCCCTGCTCTGCTGTGCTCTGCCGATATACCAGCCGCCAGTTACGCCTTCCCTCTGTTAGAGACAGCAACAAGCAAAGACCATACCACACCGGAAGAGCAGAGGCAGCACGAATAGTGAGACAGTCATATGTCATCTCCTTCTTCAAAGCAAGCCTCTCCTGTCCGCCCCGGCTTGTCCACCTCATTTTTCTCTTCCACCTGCATCTGACTGATACATCGCCAACCTTTCCCTTCCGACGGTTCCTCTCCCGGCACCTCCTTGCTCCCCGCCGACAAAAGTCAAGCACTCTTCCTACCAGCTTATCGACTTTTCCAAGCACTTTTATTTCGACCCGTTCCCACCCAATATCCACATTCGTACCGCCCTTCTTCCCGCCTGGTCATCCGCACAGAGGGCTGCCAGACGGTCGGACCCATCAGTTACCGACTCTACCCCTACTCGCAGCATCAGCAACGCCTTTTGCTGCCGCCCGCGAGCACTGCCCCTCATCCTGCCCAAAGGGAACATCCCGGACACCGCGCCGATAAGACCGATAGCGGCCATAGAAACACTACCTCATAGGCACTGCGAGAGTGAGACTGAGGGGCACCGCTGCATCCACTGAGCCAGTCGCAGTCATGGGTTTGGTCCATGTGCCAGGAAGACGCTCCAGAGCGTCCAGCCTCAGTGAGTCTTACCAGCCCTAGCGTTGCCTGCCAAACCCAATGTAATAGCAGACAATTTCTCTTGAGCCGCGCGCAGGGTACTGTAGACTACTTGCTGCTGTTGCTACTACTATTACTGACGGCGACAAATTCCTTCGCGCGCCCACTCCTGCAACTTTTTCTGCCTATTTCCCATTCCCATCCTGTCCCCAGTTTGTTACCGCTGTCCGGCTCTAAAGTCTTGTTGGGACCCGAAAAGCGTTCTCTCCTCTCTTGCTCTCCACCCTCCTCCCGAACCTCCCATCGTGCGCGCGCCTCAAAAAAAAGTTACCGCCAACAATGCTGACCTGGCTCGGGAATCCCACAGCTAGCAACCGCTCCAGCGTCGACGAGGCGAGAGGAGCCGAAGATGACGACACGCTCGTGGTCGAGCCCGATCAGGGCAACGGTTAGTGAAGCTTCCCCGCGAGAGCCTGCGCCGGCTGTATTCTCCAGCGCAACGTCTTGCACGCAAATAGCTAATATGTTTGCAGTGCTCATGCACATCATCTCCCAGCTTCGGCCGGGTGCTGACCTGAGTCGCGTCGTCCTGCCGACGTTTATTCTCGAGCCTCGTAGCATGCTCGAGAGGATCACCAAGTTAGTGGCATTCAGCATCGGGGTGTCTTCCGGAGCTTCCATAGCTGACTGATTGTCATAGCTTCATGTGCCACCCCGAAATGCTCCTCCCGATACCCGAGATCGACGACCCAACCCAACGATTCCTCTCCGTAGTCAAGTTCTATTTGAGCGGCTGGCATATTCGTCCACCGTACGTATATAAACCCTTGCCAAGTTTGCGTAGGAGAGGCATGTCATTGACTTGGTCTTAGAGGAGTCAAGAAGCCCCTGAACCCAATCCTCGGCGAGATCTTCACCTGTTACTGGGACCTTCCCGACAGCACGAAGGCCTACTACATTTCAGAGCAGACGTCGCATCACCCTCCCAAGTCGAGCTACTTCTACATGGTTCCTGACCACCACATCCGGGTTGACGGTACTTTGAAGCCGAGGTCGAAATTCCTTGGAAATTCCGCGGCGAGCATGATGGAGGGAACTGCTATTCTGTCATTGCTGAACAGAGGACAGGACAAGGCCAAGGGTGAAAGATAGTAAGTCGGCGGGAGGTTCGGTTGGATAAGTGTATGCTGACTGTAACACAGCATCTTGACTCAGCCAAACATGTATGCCCGCGGCATCTTATTTGGAAAGATGAAGTACGAGCTAGGCGACCATAGCTTTGTGCGCTGTCCAGAGCTGGACCTGGTTGCGGATGTCGACTTCAAGACGAAGGGCTGGGTTGGTGGTACCTACAACGCAATTGGAGGATTCATCAAGCGAGAGAGCACCGGTGAGGTTCTTTACGAGCTTTCGGGGCTCTGGAGCGAGGAGATGTTTGTGAAAGACGTCAAGGTAGGTCCAGCCAGGTTTGTGCACCAAGTCAGCGCTAACAAACCTGCAGACTGGTCATAAGGAAATGTTCTTCAACGCCAGGAGGTCAAAACCTAGCAGCCCGTCGGTGCGACCCATCGAGGAGCAAGACGAGCGCGAGTCCCAGAAGCTCTGGCAAGCGACTGCCCAAGCTGTGAAGGCTAGCAACCATGAGCTCGCTACGGACGAGAAAACCAAGGTTGAAGACAAACAACGCGAGGAGCGAGAGGCCAGAACACGAGACGGTGTTGAGTGGCATCCCAGACTTTTCAGAACAGTGCACGGCGGCCCTGGCGACGTTGAGGAAGGCGAGGAAGACTTGGAGTGGATCATCAACGCCAAGATGTGAGTTTCGGTGAACGAAACACAGAAACGCTGAATACGAATGCTGACCATGTCATAGCGATGGAGCAACGCCGGAGAAACAAACCGAGCAAATTTTGGCCATCTATCCCATCCTTCCTGGCCAGAAGGCAACAGCTGCAAACACGATTCCGCCACACCGGCCTTCCGCATCAGAGGCGCCAGCAGCTCCGGCTCAACCCGCCAAAAACGACCTGATCGACTTTGGAGATGATAGCAGCACTCCCACTGCGCCTGCACCAGCTGTCCAGCCTCCTACTGGAGCTCACGCGACCAGGAGCGACTCCAAGGATATCCAGGGCATGCTCAACAAGACAGGACATCAAGCTGGCGAGGGTCCGTTGATGGACTTCACCTCCGACATGAAAAAGGCGGTCCCGCCGTTGAAGAGAGCCGACACCAGCGAGGATAGCTTCCACGACGCCCTGGAGTAGACTAGACATGCGGTTTTTAGCATCCGTCAGGTAAAACACGACATCACTTTCATTCATCATGGGAGGTCAACCTCTGGCTAGAGGAGAGGAGATCCATTCTGTGCACTGGCGAAAACGGGGTTTGGTAGAAAAGGGATACCTTTGTAGATATGTAGCATCGTTTACGGACTAGCAATAATGGCATTCAACTGCGGACACTGATTTCAACAGAGCAACATGAACATGACTTTGTTTCGGAAGCTTTGTTGTGACAATAGTATACACATTTGATGCTTGACCCTCGAAAAGGGACCCTTGGTAATAAAATAACCATTCCCAGAACACCGCGAACGCCAGTTTCTTTTTCAAATTGACCGCGCCGACTATGATTCAATATCATAGGGGCCATATGTCAGAATCAAGCCAGAAGGCCCCTCGATCACGGGTCCCGGCTTATGAACTCTGCCTAAACAGGCTCCGCAACAGCTCACGGTTACGGCTCCTACTGCGCGCGGGGGCAGGGCTGCTGCTTCTCTGGCGAGGACGCGCCCGTGACTGATGCTCGTGGGTGCGGGCTTGTCGTTTGGCAGAGCCGTCCCCAGCACCGTTGCGTTCGTCACCGCCCAGCCGCTTGCTGCCATTTGGTCGATCCCGCCGGTTCCCACGTCGCTTATCCTCGTTCGGCCGGTCTCGTCCTTGGCTATCTCCAGTATCACGACCATCACGGAAGCCTTGACCTCCGGGTGGGCTGTCGACATCAACACCACCGCCGCCACCGTTGTTCTCCTAGTAACGGCGCCGCGTGGGCTCTGGGGTGGGCGAGCGGGAGGGGGAGCGTTCGTCGCGGCCGCGGTCCTTGAGCCACTTCTTGGTGCTGAGGGTGAGGTCGCGGTCGAGGTCCTCGGAGGGGTTCTTGCGGTGGATGAAGTTGCAGAAGCCGCCGCGGACACAGCCCTCCCCTGAGTTCAGACGGCAACAGGCCTCACGGAAGTCTGTCACGGGTGACAGCTCGCAGTATATGGGGCGCGCGGCGTACCAGCGCGAGTTAAGATCGTCGCAGGCTTTTTGAGCCGAGTCTTCGTACTTGAAGCGGGCGTAGACGTTGCCTATAAGGTCTGCGGTGGTTGAATGTTAGCAATCGTTTCGATCTCAACGTGCAGAGACGGCGTCAAACTGACGGCGAGACAGGAAGAATGAGAGACGGGGAAAAAGACATACGATCATTGTTGTTGTCGCAGACGACCAGCTCCTCCAGCTCGCCGTACTTGCATAGCTCGCACCAAATGTCCTCGTAGAAGGCGTCAAAGTGGTTCTGCAGCTGGGAAGGGTTCATGCGGTTCTTCGGGTCGTATGCCGGGTTCTGGTAGAGGTTGGGCATGAGGATGGTCTGAGAGTAGCTGGGCTTGACGTGCTTTCGCGAGCAGCGGTCGCCGTGACGGCAGGCGCCGATCTTGAAGTAGAAGGAGCAGTTGACCTTGTCGAGCTCGGTACCGAAGATGGAAGCGAGAAAGTTGGCCATTTTCGCGATCGATTGTCTGGCGGCGAAAAGAAAGATTTCGGGTCGTAATGGAAAGCGGGATTCGAGGTCGGGAAGTTGATGGGGAGGGAAGGAATTGAACGTCGACGAAGGGTGAGGCGCGCGTTGAGATGCGTTTGGATCCTGGTCGCGATTGGGAATGCGACGGAGGAATATTTCAGACAGCCTTGCGCCACGGTTATTAGTAATTGCGAGGCTGGAGCTTTCTGTGGCGGTGCTTCGATGAGCTTCTGGTGGGTCGTGCATGCAGAGTACGTACCGCGGCCCGGATCAGAGTCTAGAACATGCACTTTCTAATTGACGTGTTGTTTATCACTTGCCGTGGGGGGGATAAACATTCCGTCCAGCCTTATGCGATTGGCATCACTGTCTCTGATATTACTGTCGCTGGCATTGTCTCTGATGCATTCAATGTCTCTCTCAGAGATCATTATACATGGGCCTGTGTTATCGCCAAACTACAGCCTTGTGCAAGGCAAACTAGAAATACAGCATCTACCACTGCTCATGTTTGAAACACTGGGTGGTTCCCTAGTCAGTTCTCGCATGCGGCTGAACTCACACATGAATGACGCCGAATGGAAGAAGAGAACAGATCGGTCTGAAGGAGCGCCGATCCTTGGCTGAAAGCTTCCAGACATGCTCGTGCAATGGTGATCTCCCTTCTGATGTCCCGTCTGCCGCGTACAAAAGCTTCGCTCGTCCGATGGTGATGGACTGTCTTTCAGAGTCAAAATCCAGTCCGAGCAACGCGGCCATAGCACGATGGTCACGAGACCCGCTCCTCCGACGAACGCCGTCGATTGGCGCCGCTTGTGGTGATGGATAATCTTGTTTAGGTTTCTTCCAGATGCAGTGGAATGATCAACGGCCTCCGGTGGGAAGGGATGGTGAAACGGTTGGCTTCGTGAGTGACGCTGAACCAACTGGCCAGACGCCGCAGTCCCGCCGCCGTCCCATCTCTCGGACTCAGGTCGAAGCCAAGACGCTGGAGGTCTCTCCCCAAAAAAGGTGCCCACAACTGGCGAACACCCCCAGCGGCCTACAACTTGGTTTGGGGATTTGACCAGGATCCCATTCGCCAATCATGACTCGAGAACCGTGTTTACCCCCGCTTTAATTTTGGAGATTGCTGGGTCTCTCCCCGTTTTGGCCGTTTTGGGGGACGCTGCACCTGTGCTTTCCCACCTCCTGCAGGACATGCGCAAACTTCCCGGCCGTGCGCATCCAACGCGGACCGAAGCCAACATCTGGTCTGTTAGGTTGCTTCGACAGCCCTCACCACACTCTGGCACTCTCAACTGCGTGTGTCTCCTTTTTTTAGTCCCTTACTCAGAACCAGTCCCTTCTTTTTGCCTTATCTCTTTGCTCGCCCCCTTGCTTGCTACCACAAACTTGCCAGGAGTTCTTTTTTTATATTCTTGATCGACGCCGCGTCCTTCACCATCATTTCGCAGGATCTGCGAAGAAGCTTCTGCCCGTCTTCGATTTTCCTTGACACGGACCCTCTTCCGCGGCCACAACTTCGAGACATTACCCCGGACGCCCTCCTCTGTTTATATAACCCCCACGATCGAGACGCACCCCCGATAGCTGGCACCACAACCTTGGGCCATGAATTTGAGCGTGACTCCTCTCCCCTCCTGCTGACGAACCGACGCGACCTTTTCCCCCTTCGACAACCGGTCCTCGCGCCGACCCTGCTTACACCTGTCCGAACCAGCATATACCCTCTCTCGACGAAGCCGCCGCAATGGACCAAGCAGACATCCCCGCGCTCCTGTCGCGACTCGCCAGTGACGAGGACGCTGCCAGGAAAATGGCCGTCTTCAAGCTGCAGTCCTCCATCAACGATCCCGCTTTTGCAGACGTTTTCATATCTTCCGGCGGACTGGTTGTGCTACGCCGTCTAATCATGAGCGCTGGAGGAAACACACTGGCGTACTCGCTGCAGAGTCTCACGCGTCTTTTGGAGGTGGATATGGGCTGGGAGATTTTTGAGGGCTCGTCGTCCGGTGACTTAGTCGAGCGCATCGTCGAATTGATCGTAACGAACCCCCTCGTCAACATTTTGCGAGGCGCCATGTCGATTCTGGTCGCAATCGTTGCACACTCGCAATCCTCTGGCCGGCCCAATACCCCGCGCACTCCAGGCTCATTCGGTTTCAGGGCGCTGAAGCCAGCCGTCGCCGTGTACCCGCAATTCTTCGAGCTCGTCATCTCACAACTGCAGTCCGCCGACCACGCCCTGTGCGCCAACGCGCTCATGCTCATCAATGCCATGATCAGAGACGCCGTCTCCAGCGACAGCAGCACGAAGCCGGGGTCGCCTGCTATGGAGGAGTGGTCCAAGTTTATCAAGCGTTTGCAGGACTTGGGCCTGATCAAGGCCGTGTATAATCTCATGCAGAGCTCTTCATTGCAAGATCTCGCGCACCCACTGCTCGAATTTCAGTCCTTGACCAAGGTTCTACTGAGAAAGTGGCGCGAGGTGAGGGTTGACCTGGAGAGGCCTGAACACCGACGAGGCCTGAAGGGTTTACATCTGGCGAGCAATCCGGAGAAGCAGGTCAATGGGCATTCAAGACTGGATGAGCTGAATGAGGGCAAAAAGGGGAGCCGACGACACAACCCTGAGAAGTGGAGAAGACTTGGCTTCGAGACGGAGAGCCCCGCGCAGGAATTCGAAGTGCCTGGATTCCTGGGCATGATGGATTTGACCGACTACGTGCGCAAGAATGAGGACAGCTTTCAGAAGCTGCTGTTGGAGCAGTCGACAAAACACCGAAGTGAGCGGTGCCCGGTTGCGAGAGCAAGTCTTGCTGTCACCATGATCCTCTACGATCACTTCGAGGTTGAAAAGTCGGAGATTGAGGACACGATGAAGAGCTATCAAGGCTTGGACGGTATTAAGAATAACGAGAAGCTTTTCCGACCGCTCCTCCTGCAGTGGTCGAGGCTACACACCGCTGGCTTGCAGGCTTTCTTCCGCGTTTGGAAATCCACGGCTGCAGAGCAACTGGATTTTGAGAAGGTCGCAGAGCTTGTTCGCATCCTCATTGAGCAGGTTGTCGGTCAAGCTGTCAGAACGAAGGACGTAGTGGAGGTGGAAGAGGAGCTCTTGGAGTACGACTGCACCAGGCTACGTGAACTTCAGATGGAGCTGCTTGAGCTGTCTTTTGAAGATCAATGGGGTCAACATTTGTATCAAGTCCGAGAGGAGTTGAGACAAGAGGCTCTCCAGTTTGTCAAGGAGCAGCGCATCAGGTGCCTACTTCAAGGTTCGTGGTTCTCGAAGCCGCTACCCCGCCGAGACACCAACCCTCGAGACGAGACCAAGCGCCGGCTGTATACGCCACGGCCCTGGCGGTTTGCCAAGCTGTCACACAACAGGAGATACCTCCACTATGCCGACTTCGAAACTCAGACATCACAGGACCCCGGCCTGGATATTCTGACAGAGAAGGTTGACCTCAGCACGATCAGTTCAGTGGTGTCAAACGTTTCTGCATCCAACGAAGACACTCGAAGCGCGACTAGTAGTTCGACGCTCAAGAACACCGCGACGGTGAAGTCGACAACCAAGATTACAATCTTTAGCTACGTCAACCCCGCCGAGGCAGCCAAGGGCGGCGATGCCAAGGAGCAGGCCATCCTGACGCTGTACCCTGTGACCCATAGTCTGGCGTCAGAGTGGCTCGATGGCCTTCTGATGCTGCTCAACCAGGCGCCAATCACTGCTGAGACGAACAAATTGGTCAACCTGGTTAGTGACTTTGGTCTGAAGATCAGGCTGCTGAACGTGAGGATAGAGGCTGCATACACTGGCCCTCCTCCAGGGGCTGGCGTCGTCCCTAGCCGGGAAGGTCTAGATGAAGACTACTTCTACGAGGTTTGAGTGCCACCAAAGCTGGTGAGCCTGTCGAAAGATTCGATCCATGTCTTTATTTCAGCTTATTTCCTTTGTGGTCCCTTTTGGCTTTCATATACCCGCGTTCTCTCTTGCGTCTAAAGCCGGGGATGTAACGAATGGAGCTGGGAAGAAGAAGAAAAAACTGCAGTCCAGTCTACAGGCTGTTTTACAAAAATGTGCATAGCGAGCGTCGTTACACACAGAGACTGGATTTGTTGGCTGGCTGGCACATGTCTCTCCCCTGGGATGATGGGGCGCTGAGGATGCTGCACATATGGGGGCGGATGGTTGGTTGAATGGAAGGATAGGTGTTTATAACTTCGCAGACAGGCTCTCATATGATCATACCCCTCGAGGGCAAGTCTTGATGATTTGCTCGAGTACATTTTCTAATACCAAGTAATTCTCCAAGACCTTTATCAGTGATGAGATGTGCGAGGTGCTTTTCAGCTGTGATAGTGGCGTTCAACAAACGGCAGCTGAGGGCCCTTTGCGGAATGGTGCGCGATAGTGTACCCATATAGCAGATGACTTTGACTGACAAGACTTCCCCCGCTCAGAAGACATTCTCTTTCGGCCAAAATCCAGAGCTGGCCGCATCCAGGGCCGTGGCATGTCACCGCTGTCTGCCGTGGTTGTGGTGCCTCGCAGGGGTTTCCAGCTGGTAGCGCGCGGCAGGCGGGGCCACCAAGTTAGCTTCCCGTCGTCCCGTTACCAGCATGCCGGCCCAAGCTCCACCCCGTTGCTCCCCCAGCCACCCGACAATTCTCAGCTCCAGCTCCAACAGAAAGGACCCCTCCCGTTTCCTTTGGGCTGTCCACTTCTTGAGGGCATTCACCTTTACGATAAAGGCGGGGAAGTTGTCGCTCCACTGGCCGTTTTCCCGTTTCAAAGGACAATCGATTCAGACGACGCAGGGCACATCTCAAATTGCGTACAAACACAAGGAGCGCAAGTTTGCTGTACACCATAGGATTATGACATCACTCCCGTCCGAGTGAACCAACCACCGCTGAAACGGACCTGTCTCTAAGAAAACCTACCCTCCGCCCCCAACTCATGGTCCGCCGACTGCCGTGGACCCATCCACATCGTAAAGTCGACTACACCGGCAACAACACCTCAAGCGAAATGGTCTTCACCAGGACCCCGCGCAGTGGCAGGAGAGGAGGGTTGACGTACAACAATTCGTCGTACGGCAAGAGCAACTACAGCAATAATCGGTATTCGCGCGGCGGGTACGGCAATGGCGGGGGTGGTCCGAACACCCCGTCGTCGCAGAAGAAGCGGCTGGACGGGCTCTACCTGGAAGGGAACTGGTACTGCAACTGCGAGCCGCGGATGCAGGCCAAGTACCTTCAGACCAAGAAGCAGGGCAAGAACCATGGCCGGTACTTTTGGACGTGCGAGTCGAGGGGTTGTAACTTCTTCCTATGGGACGACGATGCGAAGAACCGGGCGGAGGGAAACACGTTGACGTTGCCGCCCATGCCGGAGGACGAGCCGACAAAGAATGGTGCGGCCATGCCTGCGACTGCACCTGTGCCTGCGCCTGCTGCTACGCTTCCAACGCCGACGACAGCCACGCCGAGACAGCGGTCTATGGGTGACTACCTCACGCAGCAGAAGGAGGCGGAGACGCCGTCGCGGACCGCAAAGAGGAAGAGGGTTCTCTTTGAGTTCAGCGACGACGATGAGGAGGATGACTTCGGACTAGGGGATATGTCGTCGGATGAGGAGAGGCAGATGAACGAAGCCATGGAGCGGAGCGCAAAGAAGTTGAGGGATACGGCGCCGGTCACGCCGTCCTCCCGACGGATGGCGGAGAGTGAGGTCGATACCCCGGGGACGGTCTCGAGGACACTCTTCCCCGACGCCAAGAGGAGGAACACCGGCACCGGGTCCTTCTCCGCAGCGAGCACGGCGTCGTCGATGACTGCGAACCCCTCCATGTCGCCGCCGGCGTCACAGACCCAGGAGGAGCAGCTGGACCCAACTGACGAGGTGATGGCTCTGCTCAGGGGGCAAAAGGTGGACGAGGCAACGATGGGAGAGGTGAGGGGCGTGCTGCGGCGGTACGCGATGAAGGCCAAGGGGATTGCGAGGGGGCGAGACAGCGTCAGGATGGCCCTCAAGACGAAGGATGAGAAGATTGCCGGCTTGCAGGAAAGGGTTGCCAGTCTGGAGGATCGCAACCGGGCTCAGCGGGAGGAGATTGCCGATTTCAAGGCGAGCATTATGGATCTATACTCGAAGCACTGATGAGAAGGAGGGAATGGGTTACGATTAGGAGAAGCGGGATAGATTGCTTTGGGCGATTGGATTTGAGGATACCCCTGGTTATGATTGTAGGTCAGCTAGTACTTGGGACATTGGTTGTTCGTAATCGGACTGGTTCTTTTAAAACGGTTGTCTCTTGTGATGAGGTCAGAAGAAGGTGAGCTATTGCCCTGTCGAGAAACGACTACTTCTGCGACGTTCACCTTCAATGTAATAATCATGATGCGAGACATTTGGTTCGGCTCTTCTTCCTACATGTCAACTGCGCCGGCAGGTCCTTTATTCGGCCGGCTTGTACCAGCCGTCGCAGCCGTTTGAGTTGACACCCTATTTCGTGTCTCTATTGCGAACTTCAAAGTTGGCTCTCATTGGCGTCTTACGAAGGAGACGAACATGACAGGGTCGAAAGGGGGAGGGTGAGAAAACGATGATAAAAACAAGATGATGAAAAAAGGGTTGAAATGCTAAAAGAATTTACTTGGACCCTTACCCCCACCGAGAAGATGATGGATCACCAGGGCGCTGCGATTGCGCTGACCTGACCACTGGGCCATTTTGTTCTTCTCGCCGGTTGAAAGCAGACGACCAGAGGCTGGCCCATGTAGGTCAGTTGAGTGGGTGCCCAACTGAGTCCTGGCAGCAAATGTGTCCAAGTCCAACGTGCCTGCCACTTTCTTTCACTTACACTCACATGGTCACATAGTACATGCGAAGATATAGAAGTGATACTTATGCCTCTCTCCTGGTCCAGAATGGGTAGAACACTCGCAAATTACTTGAAGTATAGCAGCGCCTCCTTGTCGAGGGAGCTCATCAATAATAATGAAAAGAATGTTGTGACTTCACTAATATCCACCCCGAACGAGTCTAGCCAATTCTCGGTTTGCAGCCTCATCTGGCAACGTTTCGCGTCAAATAATGCGATAGGAGACTCAATTGGAGCGATCAATCGTCTAGGAACACATCTCAATAGTACGCCACGTTCATCTCTGCTGTAAGTTTTCCTGCCAGACAGCAAGAAACATGATTATGACTGCCCTGTGAAAGAAGATTATAGGAGCATTCTCGTCTATCATCACGCGATGGCAACCTGCTCATCAATGGCCTTGACGTTGCAAATGAACCTCCTGCATCACGTTCGATGAAATCCAATGTAACGAAGAAAAGTCTTTACAATAACTAAGGTATAGTAGCAATAAACCAGGTATACGCCGTCGCGGGGCTTAATACCCCCAGTTGCCCGACCCTTTACCTCCCTTGTATGACCCAAATCCTGGATACCATGCTTCTTTTCGAACCTTACTCGGCAAGAACCTCGCGCAACATGACAAGGAAGTTTTCCTTGAGTTTATGAACCTCAGACACTGGCGGCTTGACCGGTTCGCCAGCGCTCCGGCGAAGCCTGTCGCGTCTCTTAGCGCGACGTCGACGCTCGGCCTCAATAGGGTCGAGCTCGTCTTCCTCTTCTGCCTCCGCCTCGTCGTCTTCTTCATCCTCGTAAGCCATATCCTGAAGATCTTGTTGATCAAGACCGAAATCGGAGGAAGAGAAGCCCGTGGGGACGAGATCTGGGCCGCCGTTACCCTCAGCAGCCATCTTTTGCCGTGTCTTGTCATGGTGCCACTTCTTCCTGGCCTCTTGCCAGGCGATGAGTGCGTTCACTTCATCGATGACCTTGGCCTTGTCGATCGCACCTGAGCTAACACCTCCCTCGAATAGCGCGTTGATGTTCAAAGTGCCATTCTTGGGGCCCTTTCTGAGGAATTCCAGGATGTCTTCTATCCAACCCATCAACTGGTCGAAAAGTCCATTGTCATGTGTGTGAACTTCATGCACGAACTTGTAGAAGTTGTGCTCGTGCCTCTGGCAGAGATCGATGAACGCTTGCACAGTCTGGTTCGGGTCCGCGGAAGCGTCCTGCTCCTGGCATTTCTCGACGACCTAGAAGCATGTCAGCAATTTATCCTCACTTCGATGGGGACCATCTTACCTGAATCATGTCGTCGATGAAGACGGCAAAGTCGGTGACGCTGTTGTAGACGTTCGCAGACTTGTAAACCCTAACAAGCGGCTCGTAGAAGATGGTAAAGAGATCCCTAAAGAGCTGTAGGGTTACTGGCTCCTCGACCAACTGCAACATCATCGCCTTGTCGTGCTGCCTCGTGCACAGTTTCAAGAACTGCTTAAGGTACGAAAACAGTTGCGCGCCCTGTTTGAGCTCTTCGTCCACGTTCTCGACCGCGTTGTTGAATGCCACGTAAGCGTTGTACAGTCGGCCGATTTGCTCCGAGGTCAAGGCAGGCTCAAGGTACTCCGAGCGCAGAATAACGACAATGATGTCCATGTCCTCCGACTGAGCTTCCTCCCGAATAGCCACCTTGATGTGCTCCTCGGCTTCCGTGTACATCTTCAGTTTCTTGGTCAGGACCTCATCGCCAATCTTAGCAGCAAGAGTGTCAATAGACTTCTGGAAACTCCGGATGCCGTCGTTCAGCGTAAGGGAAAAGATGCGCTGCAGGAGTGAGCGTGTGCCAAAGGGTTGTGCCAGGAAGATGTCCAGGACGCCGGACATGACAGCCGCGGGATTAGCGATTCTAATAACGTTCTTCATGACGGTATAAGGAATGAGCGAGTGGATCCTCTTAGCTTGGGCAAACAGCTCAGGAGAGTTGTCCTCCGCGAGGAACAGGTGGTAGATTGTAGCCGCGACCTCTATCCTCAACCACTCGGCAAACTTGCGGTACTGGATGCTCAGGTCCTGAATGGTCTCCTTATCCTTGATCTCCTTGAAGAGCGAGGTCAGGCCGTTTCGCTCAACAATCTCCTGACGGAACCTGGGATGCCATTAGTAACACATTACGCATCTCACATTCCGAACACTCACTCTTCCATGTAGATGTCGAGCTCCGCTGCGCGCTTCCGCGCAATCTCGTAGAACTTCTTCTGCTCCTCCATGCGCAACTGGTCAACAGCCTTTCTCCGCTCAATGTCGTCGATATCGGCATCGGTCGGCGTGATTGGGTCCTTGGTGAGGAATTCCTCCATGGCCTTGGTCTGCGCAATCTGAGGGTTTGACAGGAGAGAGCGCAAAAACGCCCTAAGTGAAACGCGCTGGCTCTCCCGCCATAACGTGACGGGCTCGTTGTTCTTCTTGCTGAGGAAAGGAAGAGGGCTTTTCGGTCTGCTGTCGGTTGACACGCGGGGTGAGTTGCGGCCGGAGGTAGTAGAGCCTGCGCGTTTGTGCCCTGGTTGATGCTGTTAGAGACCGTGTTAGGAGTGACGGGGGAAAGGTCGCTCACCTCTGATTGATAGCTTAGAAGGCTCGCTTGGGGGAGCGAGGCCGGTCATTTGTGTCGATACAGAGGAAATTGATGACGCCGAAGAGTCAGGAGATCCACCACCAGTGAGGGAGGAGAACAGGCCCGACGTCGTGGTGTCCGCCTTGTTCTTCTTGGGTAAAGTTGGGAGGACCTTTCCGGGTAACTCTATACGTAGTCTCTTGTGCAATCTCATAAAATCGCCATACCGTCTACCGATGAAAAACTCGAGTTCGCCCTTGCGGTGAATGCGCATGAGGAATTCCTGATCATGGTGTTAGTGAAGCCCCGCGTCTGTTTCGAGGTAAACTTACCGCATGCTTGTGAGTCCTGATGGTCTTCCTTTCCGAAGTAATGCGCACGGCGGTGACGTTCACGTCCCAGCCATTGATATAGTTTCCCTCCGGCATTGTGTGCATGACTCCCGTGTCAATCGCATTGCTGTCCACGACCTCGATCTCGGAAAATCGTATCCTCTCTTCGAAGCCGGAGGAGGTCTTGCAACCCGACACCATCATCAACTCGACTAGCTTCTGACATTTTATGGCCAACTTGCGTCTCTTCGTTTCTTCCAATCTATCCTCGGAGGATGAAATGTTCTTAGTCGCAAAGGATTCCAGGAACTGGACGTGGGAGCAAAACGAGTCAGCGCAAGCTGTGCCGGCCGGGGGGTTTTCTGGGCGTTCCAGAGATCGCGGGGAAGCTTTATTACTTACCAGTTGCAGCTTGTCTTGCCAAAACTCCTTCTCCTTGGCCTTGTCAAGGAACGGGAAATCGCGAACATGGTGAACGAAGATGTAGCGCAGGATAGGGAGCTCGGAGTCCAATGGGGAGACCTCGCCGACGTCGGATTTGAAGGGGGCGCCGAAGCGCTTTAGGGCCGTGGGAGAGTTGAGCTCTGAGATTTCGTACTTGACTTGCTCGGAGATCAGCTCTCGCTTGAGGTCTGGAGGCGAGAAATGTCAGCATGGTCCCCGAAAATGCCAGTCAGTCGACATACAGTGCTCTTGCTTGCCCGTCAGAGATTGACCCGGCGGAGGGATAGAGGCATCGCTCTTGGTGCGGACGGGGAGCTGCAGGTCAGACTTGACGGCCGGAGCCGGGTCCTGGGCGGACGCTACAGCAGCACCATTCTGGGGTTGATCTTGCGATGTCGAAGCCATCGGCGATGTTTGTCTTGGGCCCTGTTGAGCTACCCGGGGAGCACACAGCGAGTCGTAAGATGCCTCTTGTCGATGCCAAGCTCGTGGAAGGAAAAGAATGTTCGTAGGTGTTGGGAGGGAGGAGGGTGGACGTCGTCAAAAAGGTCGAGGTGATGGGATAGAGCTGACTGGCGTCAGACCCGGAGCGAGTAAGGCAAGGTATCTGCGGTTAGGTAGCGTAAGGTAGGTAGCGTGGGTAGCGGCGGCGCGGCAACAATAGCTGGGGGCCTGAGGGAGGGGCTCGACGTAATAATCAATCTACCCTGGGCTGGGCTGGGTCCCCAAGCGCAGAGCAGATCCAATGGTGACGGGGCCCAGGTTCAAGTTGCAGGGTGCAGGCCCAGCGACCGCGGTGGAGACGCAGGCTCGTAGGGCCGCTGGAAGTAACGCGCGTATGGCGGGGTAGTTACAGGCTCTGCCGACAGCTTCTTTCTCTTCCAGGTTACCGTAGGCAGGTAAGGTA